CCTATAGTAATATTCCTGCTCCCTTGAAAGATGTAGTAGTGGCTCCAGTTCCCTCGTGTATCCTGTCCTTCCCTCGTCCAACACCTTGATCACCACGTTTCCATGCTTGAGGGTCGAAGTTCGTCGACGAGTCGCTCTCTCCCAGGTATTGATTACTTGCATGATGCTCGGGGAGGAGTAGTTGAGTGGGGAGTGCATCCTGGTCTGTCCGTTTGATGGTCGTCGTAGTAGTTTGCTGATGATGAGTCCTCCTGTTGGCTGGATGGGATTGGATGTTTGGGATTGATAGTTTGGTCCAGTCTGATTCGGCTTGGTCGTCTGAGAGAAGGATATCTGGAGTTGAGCTTGATGGTTCCATCTTTTATCTTTGTTAGTTGGTTTCTTGGTCGTTGGTCGTTGGTCGTTGGTTTCTTGGTCGTTGGTCGTTGGTCTTGGGCTTGGCTTCTTCTTCATGTGGTCAACAAGCACACCATCCCCCGTAGAGCCCCGCGTACCCCCGTGACCGAGTACCCATTAACCCATAGTCCTTCCAACCAATGGCAAAACCGACACAACCCCGACTGCAAAATATAAAATTAACACGGGGGTGCGTCTGCCCCGGGGGAATACTGATTTGCATTACAATTTCGAACTTGCATGAGTGTGTAGAGTTCAAAATTGTAACCACTAAGGACTTATTTATGTAACCCTGTGGTTCTTTTTTTTTCTCAGTGTGGTGTGAAGGCCATCTGGAAGCCACACCTAAACCCACAACTATGGGTTTGAGCAAGGCATACCTACCATTGCAGTGTCCCCTTCTTACGTTCAACACCTATCTTGGGTGTTACTTTGAAGTTGAAAGGGATTTTTCAACACTCCGGAGGCTGAAAAGAGCTCAAAAAAACCTGAAAATCCAAAAAAATCTTGTTTTTTTGCCTCAACCTTTCAGACATCCTAAAGATTGATGAAATTAATAGGGACCAATAGTGAGATGGTGAGTTGAAGGATCTTCATTGCATTAGTGATGAATGATCGTCAAAGAAAAAGAGAGAGAAAAACAAATAGAAAAGGAAAGAAAAGAAAAGAAAAGAAAAGAAGAAGCAGACTTACCTAGAACCAGTAGTGAGATGGTGAGAAGGATGAGGAAAGAGAATCCTTCCACAAGCTCACTGCTGTCCTAGGTGTACTACATGAACTGTGACACAGGTGTGTATAGCATACAAAAGAACAGAGAGTGAAATGAAACATGAAAACTCAACAGAGATCCAGGATGGGTTTATGGCATCTGCAGCTGTATGTATCAGTCCACCAATTTAATGCACAAAATCATTAATCCAGATTCCATACCCTTGATGTCAGCTTGCTACTATGGCAGAGAAAACCTGTCATAGCAAATAAAAATAATAAACCACATAAAAATCTAAGTATAAAGTAAATATATTACATAAGTAAAAGAAACACCTTTACATATGTAAATAATATAAAAAAATAGCTGGTGTACATCACCAGCTTGTTGGGAGGAACCCCTCCCAATGAGCTGGTATATAGACCAGCTTGTTGGAAGGGATTCCTTCCAACAAGCAGGATTAAAAGCCGGCTTTCTGGGAGGAACACCTCCCAGTGGCCGGACTGCTGCCTTGAGGTTGGAGGCATTCCTCCAACCTTGAGACCATACAGGTCTCAAGGCCAAGAGGGATTCCTCTTGGCCTTCAGCCAGGATTCCTCTTGGCCTTGAGCCATGTATGGTCTCAAGGCCAGGAGGAAGCCCCCGGCCTCAAGACTGTATAAAAGTTTGCAGGCTGGGAGGGCTTCCTCCCAGGCCCAAATTTTCTGGGTTTTTTTCCTTTTTTTCAACAGCCTGATCAAGCCCCAGGCCCTATCCCATAGGAACCAGGCCTGGGTCCTATGGGATAGCCCAGGAGCTAAACGCATATGTATGTGCATTTAGCTCCTGTTGAGATACATGTGGCATGTCACTGATTAGTGCATGTCCACCGTTGTTAGTGTGCTTTCTTCCTGATTTCATTTCTCACATGTCACATTCTGTGACATGCATTTGTTTCCTCTCAGCTCTTATACTGGATTCATCTGTGTGTGGTAGGACTCCTTTTTCCTCATCCTTCCAACACGTTTGTCTCCAGGTATGTTTCTCTCTTTTTCTTTCTTTTCATCTTTCTCTTCTCTATGTTGAAATGAACCCATCCTTCCGACACATTTGTCTCCAGAGGGTCCATCTCAACAGCTCCTGCCTTTTGGCGTGCGGGTCTGCACACCAATATGAAGGGGATATGCCGGGGTTTGATAAGCGCAAGCCAACCCCCCTCGCGCACGCCAATCTGCACGCCAGCTGCAGATTGGCGTGCGCGCCTGCACACCATTGCAGAATGGCGTGCAGGCAGGCAAGCCACTTGCCTGCAGGGGGTATACCCTGCAGGTTGGCGTGCCTGCTTACACGCCAAATATATGCATATGTGGTCCTAAACGCAAATTTATATGCGTTTAGGACCAAGGCTGTCCCATAGGACCCAGGCATGGGTCCTATGAGACAGCCCCATTCATTGTTTTTTTTTTCAAAAAAAAAATATGTAATAAGAAAAAAAAAGTTTTTTTTTTCTTTCAAAACAAAAATACATAATAAGATTTTTTTTCTTTTTTTCTTTCAAAAAAAAAAAAACAGGCGGTCGACGGTACAACCTTGCCGACCAGGAGGAGGGGATTCCCTCCTGGTAGGCGGTACAACCTTGCCGGCCCAGGAGGGAATCCTCCTGGTTGACGAGGTTGTACGACCTCGCCGGCCTAGGAGGGAATCCTCCTGGTGACGAG